GGGGAAAATTTCCTGTGGCTTTCCCAAACAGACTACAATTTATTTAGCTGATTAATTGAAAACTAAGGGGGGCGTGGTGGGGGTGGTGTCATTGCAATTGTGTGAATTTACTTGGGCGATGCAGACTTTGACCTTCGTGTGATTTTCTGGGAGCGGAGCAACAAGGATTCGAAAGAATCCCTTTTTGGGAGGCTGCTCGTCGTACCGAAAACGTAAACAAACACTTGTCCGTGGTCGTGTTTTTGAGAGGTTTTTCTCTAGCAGAGTTTGGGTTTTCCGAGCTTTCTCAACTGCGCAAAAGCGATGTCTCTCTCTCTCTATTTTCTTTCCTCTCTGACTAAGCTTTTTGTGACGTCACAGGGACGCCGCCAAAACGGCACTCGAGCCAAATGCCAAGGACTCCAGCTCAGTGCCGTTCGAGAATTTCGCCAAGTGAGACGTCGTTCCCTAGCGCCCATATCAAACTCTATCTCTCTCTCACTTCTACACCCCTCTCTTTCTAACCACGCTGAGAGTGTATGCGTGTGTGTGTGTGTCAATAAAATCAACAAGAGAATGGCCAAAAAACTTTCAACCAGAGCGTGTCCAACAAATTAGAAAGGCGGACAAACAACAAAAAAAAAAAGCAAGAAAAATCAAGGAAAAACCGACATTGACTTTAACTTTGCCACGTGGCCACTGCACTGCTTGTTTTTCCTTCCAGAATCCGAGGTAAATTTTCCCAAAACAAACAGCACCAAAGCCCAGCATCGCCGAAACAACAACACGAATAAAAGGGGGGACAACAATTGAATTTGGTGGAAAACCAGCGCCAGTAAAATTCGGTCAATATTTGTGCGAGTGTGCGTGAAAAGAGGGAAATTTTTATTTTGGCCATTTTAATGCCGCTGTTGTTGTTGCTTAGGCTCTGTGTGTGAGTGTCTGAGTGCAAAAATAAAAGAGAAAATGGCAACGAGCTGGAAAAAATCTGTGTCAGTCATGAATTACGCACTATCTCAGTGGGAATTTCGAAGGCACTTGGGATTTGTGAATGAATAATCATGCTGCTCGCATATACTATGTATATTTTTTAAACCAATTTGCGCCTGTGCGAATCTTTATTAATTTCCGCCTGGCGTTTCCACTAATGACAACACCTGTAATTGTTGTCAGACACGACAGGCACTTGGCCAACATTATTGGTGCACAGTGGAATAACAGGGATTCTTGAAAGGAAACAAGGATTACATGAGTAAATAGTTAAGATAAGGCAGAAGTAGAAATCAGGCATGAGTTAAAGTATATGTTTTTAATTGTTTTTATGGAAATTCTCTAGGAAAAACCTCTATAGTTTAATAAATAAGCTTACAGGAACACAAATCACATGGAAAAATATTGTATTTAGCTTTTCTTAAGTCTCTTTTTTTTCTGTAAAGTCAGCTTTTAACTCCAAGATATATATTCCATGATAAAGTAAAACAGACTTCATTTTGAAGTGCATAAAGTACACCATAAATTGCAGTTGTTGTTGGCCTAGGCTTCTGCTTTTTTTCTTCTTGTGCTTTAAATCAAAGACGTATGGGTCAAAAGTATGCCACCTGGCTGGGGGTAAATGTTGCACATTACGTGAGTTTCTGCGTTACGTTACGCATACGCCATGTGGGGCCCGACCAAAGACCACCAGCAGTGCGTCGCGCAATAAATCGCACGACAATAACTCACGGCAAAAACCGGAAGGCTGCTGAGGGGTACAAAGGGGGGTATGAGGGGTTATTTTGGCCCCAAGAAGGGGGTAATGGCACGGAATAAGGCCGTGTTGTGACCAGGAAAGTCACAAACTGAAAGCTATTAAGGCAAAGGACTTAAAGACTTTTTACCACCCACAAGAGCCGGAGACAGTCTTTGCCCCATCTTGGCATACTGTGCGTGGGTAACACACCACACACCACACACACACACACACATCCGTTTCCTGTCACACGAAACAACAACGAAAACTCACTTAGCTGGCTGGCACTCAGCGTCTCAGCCTCTCCGTTCGCCAGACTCACTTGACATGCTCTTAATACCAAATAAAAACAAGAGCTCAAGGACACTCCGTTCCACATTTTTTGCGAGAAACAGCTAAGAACCCCAAACACAAGGCCTACTACCCCAACCCCCTGTTCGTCATGTGTAAATTTTTAATGTTGCCAAGACCCCGAAATGTAGGTTATCAAATTGTGTTCAAGTTGTCTTCGCCGAAGCCCCGGGGAAAAGTTTTTACGGCAACGCCACTGGCACTGGGACCGGCACCGGCACGGCATCTCCCCATGGAAAAACATTTTAAATGATTTTGTTGTCGGCGGTTGTTGGATTTTTCGTGCTCTCTTGTTTTTCCAACTTTTTGTTTTGTTCTGACCCCTCTGCCAATTGGGTCAAGCATTTACATTTCACGCCTAGCGAAAATATTCAGCCAGAAGTTTCGCGGCGGTCGAAACTATGCCAGGCTTCCTCCACCCCGCCCCGCAGCTCCTGCAGCAACCTTATCCTTATCCGCTGTGTTGTACACGCTCTCAGCCGCCTGGTAGCTGCATCTATTTAGTCAAATTAAAAACACAAATTCAACTTTGCTCTGCCGGCTGCCACTAATTAATTGCAAACTAAATGAGTTTCTCGGCATAAAACTTTATCCGCAGCAAAGCTGATTGCTGTCAGTTTGTGGCTGTGGGTGGGAGAAGGGGTTGCAGCAAGCTGCAGCCGACAACTGGGGGGGGGGCAAAGATGGTTTACGTGGCTTCCCTTTCAGTGGAGCAGGAGGAGCACGAGAAGCATGTAGACCATACACAAATTGGAATTTGCGCTGCTCACACACATTCCAGTTGCTCCATCGAGGGTTTTGCTGGCCAGAAAATAGGAAGGCGATCCTATCGAGTCATTCAGGAAATTAGGGACCAAAAGCACAAGGAAAAAATATTACCAGGAATTTGTGTTTAGTTACTGTTCCTTTAAAGGGGAAATTATATATTTGGAGAGTGGAAAATGCTGCAGTAAATATTAACTAATAAGTTGGTAACTTTAAAGAGTAATTTGTATATTTCTAAGCTGCATAAAATACAATGTACTACTTTCAAGTTAGTTTTTAAAAGTTATAAGGTAGATTTCCTATATAAAATGAATCTTAAATAAATCATTAGCCTCTAAAGACAACTTTGAGTTGCAGCAAAAACTCGATAGATACCGAGGAATATTGAAATTTTCCCTCTGTGCATGAATCCCGGCTCCATTTGAGTCATCATCAGATTATGAGTCACACAGCCAGATGTGCTGGGAGCCATAAGTCAGCTTCAGATTTGTTCGACCAACGAAGTTAGCCACTCGGAAATTATTTGTCCGCTTGCAGTCAATCCGATTGGCAGGACTCGAGAGGACTCTGGCCTTAATGACCACTGCCAGGACAGATCCTCGGACAGCTCTTACTCAGTCACCAAGTCACACAGTGGGCATTGAGCCATTAAATTCTCACTTGGCGTGTGCGGCGGATGGAATTTCAATTGCCGGCTGACTGGCTGCCCGCGGCGTGAATCTGTTAATTCAACTTATTAATTTTCATTGAATTCCCTCCGGCTGCCGCTGCCACTGTCACTGTCACTGTCACTGTCAATGTCATTTTCCACTGGGGTCTGCGGCCTCGGGGAAATTGGGGAACGCAGCTCGATGAGCTGTGGTTAGTATAATTAAGTCTCTACGAGTTATTCTGCTGAACACAAATACTGCATTAATTTGCATTCATTTTGCACATGCCAAAAAATATATTCAATAAATATATATAAGCCTGGGCCTAGCAGAAATTCATTTATACATTTCTCATTGCCAGTTTCCGGGCCAGATTTATTTTAATTTGAGCCAGGCCTAAGCCCGGGGAGCACGTTTATTGTATTAGATGAATTTGCAATAAATGCTAAATATGTTGCTTGTTATTTTTTGAGGACGTCATAAGCCACACAAACGCACACATGGGACCCACACACAAAAAGCAATTTATGAAGCACACTTCTCGGGGCAATCATCCTCCACATCCACACACACACAGAATGGCAGGAGACACACTGAAAACCCTAGAGTTTAATTGAATGCGAAGGCAACTACATAAGCAGCGTCACCAGCAGACCACAAATCAAATAAGTAAAGCGAAAACAGGTCAAGTGCTCAGCCTGAACTTGCTGCAGCTGCCAGCTGGGAGCCAGAAGCCAGAAGCCAGGAGCAAGATGCTCTTCCTGGACAAAGGGAAAGCACTTAGTTGGCCAACACCAGCACGCTCCTTTGACTTGTGATATGTGCACACAAATACAACTAGCAACACACTCTGGGCTCTGCTCCTCGTCCTGCCCACTTGCAGCTGAGTGCACCTAATCTGGATCCGCCTTTGAGCTCCGGGAAACTCTCGGGGCTCTCTGGGAGATGCTTTCAAATCGCCACAGCGGCTAATTTGTGCAGCTCCGACACAAATTGTAACTAATTTTGCGTCCCCAACTTTCCGCTTTCATTCCGATGCAAATTGCCGGACAACCTGGGCCAACTTAAAGCCCCAAAAGTTGAGTGGTAAAAACCCAGTTCGCAGGCTTGTTCGCTCGAAAGTTGACAGGTGATTTTCTGCAAACTATGTCGAAGACAGACGCGGGCGCCAGGCGGAAGTTGACAAGCCCGGCGACAGGCAAAAGTTTCTAAGCGAAAAGTTTAGTCTTTTACACGCCCAAAATGAAAATGGCTTGCTAGAAATCGAATTTCAATAAGCTAGAGCCTTAATACACCCTCCAGATTTCGCAATAAACGCAGGTTTTTTGTTAGATTAAAAACAAGTTCATAACATCATTTCTTCATAACTTTGGAAAAAGTTTATTATATATATTTGTATATTTTGTTCTTTTTGTTTATTAAGCTCAAAAGTTAATAAAAGGTTTCTGTTACAAAATTACCTTTGAAAATGGAATCTAAACTTAAATGATTTAAATTTAATTATATATATTTAACTCTGTACTTAATACTTTACTGTACATATTTTTTTATTTATTTTGCATAATTAAAGACCAATAAATTTTGTTTTTAAATTTACATTCGACATAATTAAGCTCAAACATTCTTAAAAACTCTCGAAAGTGTTTTGGGATTCCTAGACTCGTAAATGTGGTCCAGTTTCTGGAGGTACCGCTCCCGCATGACCGCATCCTTTCGCTCCTGCACCGCCTGATTGTGACTGGTGAGATCTTTCAGCCGCAGCGAGATCTGCTCTGTACGCCGACGCACATGCTCGTCCACGTCGCGGGTATAACGCTTCTGTGCATTTTCCCAGCTGCTAGTGGTCTGTCTTTGGTGGCGATCAGCGATCAAAGCCACTCGGGCCAGCCGGACGGACAGCTTCTGTACCATCTCCTCCTGCAGCATGGTGCGTCGCTCCTCCGCCGCCTTCTGGCGCTGATCCAACTGCTTCTTTAGCTCCTTGGGTGGTGGGCGTTTCTTATGCCTGTAGCGCAAAAGGCTGGGCTGCTCCTCCTTGACGGGATCCGCAATATGGTGGTAAAAGGCCAAGGAAGTGGATTTCTTTGACAAGTTTATAGGATAACTCATAATTTAGAAAACAAAAAACAAAAGTATTTTTAACAATTTTGACTACCGAAAGGTTGAACAAAATACAGCAAACCAAAAGCTGGCATAATTTTCAAGGAGTTACTTTTACATATTATATTTACTACTAACTTAATATACTTTACTCGGAAAAACCTGTACTTTTTTAATGATCCCCAAATAACACTCATCTCAGGTGGAGAACATCAAATATTTTAATTACCCTTGCCTTTGCTTTCCTCAAATATCCAACATTTAAATTACGAAACCATAAAAGTTGAACAGCATATTTTGTGATTAAAAAAGTACAATTAAAAGGAGCAAGAGTATAGAGTGCGGAAAATAAAAGAAAAACACAACACACACACACAGTGCTGGCAGTTAATGCAGTGTTGCCCATGGGCCAGCAAGGGTTAAGAGCACCCCATTTATCTGCGGCCTGTCTGTGTGCAGCATAAATACCTATTCAACTCCCCCGAACTTTGTGTGTGTGTGTGTGCTGGTGGCACACGGATGTAACGCAAAAGTTGCTTGTTATTATTATGATTAAAGTTTCTGCTACTATAGTGTGTGGCCCACACCACATTAGTGTGGCCACGCCCACAGCCACGCCCCGGCCTGCCAGGCTTCGCAGCTTTTGCCTGCTTTTCCTGCTTTAATATAAATGTTTGTGGTTTCGTCGTCAAGGTGCTTTGGAGGCGCTCCTGTGCGCCCTAAGCCCCACACTGTACATATTCATATGTAGCCAGTGCCAGCTCTATCGCATCCATTTGCTTCATGGGTTTTTGGGGGAGCTGCAAAGAAAGAACATGAAGCCAAAACATGACCGCAACATATTTTGCCGGTCATCCTTTGTTGCAGTTGATCCTAAAGCGGATTAAACTTAAAGTATTTGCGTGGCCTGGGATGGGTTTTTGAGGGCAGAGCTGCCAATTGAAGGGGCAATTTTCGGTTGAGCATATGGTGGAGCTGGGCTTAAGGGATGTATCTTAAAATGACGGGACTTAATTGTGAACGGTAAAAGGTACAAGGGAGACACCTCATTTAACTTTGAATATGCAACTGTTTAGTGTGTGTGTATAGTGTTTTGCTATGTACAAATTTCCCCAGTTTTTTCCTATTTCCATTTGATTTCAATTCCCCGCTTGAATCTTTACCTTTAACTTTGGTAATGAGTTATTTGTTGGTCAAAAGCGTACATATGTGGCCGTCACCTTTGGTTTCCAACCAGTTTAAGTTACAAGTACCTCTTGGGTTCAGCCACACCGTCCTTCCGTATGTCCTGTCACATGCCTCCTGCTCAGTTAACAGCTGTCACTCCGCCCCCTTGAGACTGGGAGCTGTAATTTAACTTCCCCTGCAGAAGCGGCAGCTGTAGTGACAACTGCAGCAGGAGGACTGCAAACTGCAAACTGCGAACTGCGAACTGAGCGTCGACATGCAACGGCGGCGAAAGATAAAAAAAACAACACGGAAAACAAACCCAAATGGAGGTTTATGGCTGGTGTTGGCCTACATACATGCAGGCAATCTAAGACCACTGGGGATTCCCACCCGAAGCTTTTAGTTTTTATGGCCATCTTTGTGTGGCACCCAAATTAGTTGGGTTGCAGGAGCAAAAATCGTTGCATACCCGAAAGGCGCTGACTGAAAATATTTCATTTTTGTTTACTTGCAGGACAACTCGTAATTGAATGGGAAATTGAAACGAAAGCGAGAGAGAAAGGGAGGGAAAGTGAGAGACAGCCAGTTTAGAGTATGTATTAAATCCCCATCTCCTCTACTTTTAGGGCCTACACAGAGAAAACCTAGCCCTGTTTAAAGTTATTTTTAAGATCATTCGAGGAGCTAATCAATATTTGGAAGAGCCAAAAATATTTATAGTAACTAAAAGTTACTTTCAAAAGTTTTTAAAACAAAATTTGTAACTTAGACATGCCACAAAAATTACAATTTTAGTTTTTTAATAGAGATTATTGAAAAGAAATAGGATATCATTTTTCTTATTCATTTCTCTTATTTAAACAATTTCAAATCTTTTCTTAAGCTGCCTAAAATTAAACTACGAAATATGCACTTCGGTACTCCCAAATCATAGCCTTCTTTTAGGCTCTTCGAGAAACACTTTGAAATAACTTGGGGTTTCAGGTAGTTATTCTTATATATTGAGTTTTAGCTCAGATTAAACGTTTATCTATTATAATTTATATATTTTTTCAAGATTTTACTTATGGCTAAATCCTTTCCGTACTACTATATATGTTTTCTTCTCTGTGTAGGCCAAGTCAGAATGTTTGAGCGTCGATTAGTTCAGATTTGTGGCAGTTGAGGCGCCAAGAGGAGCACCAGACCGCTTCATTCTTCGACCTTCGTCCCTCGCACTACCCCCTCTGTGTGTGTGTTTGCTGGTGGGTGCGTGTGTGAGTGAAGCGTGTGTGTGTGTGTGCGAGAGGAGGTGCTGGAGTGCTGGACTGGTGGTGGCTAGCATGCAAATCAACGGTCTCGCTGCCGGACCCACGATGGCAGCCTCCGAGCCACCAGAGCCGCCGCCGCGCAATCCGGATCGCATAAACGCCTCGCTGCACAAGCTGGGCGAATCCGTAAGTACCATTCCGCTCCCCAGAATACCAGAATACCAGATACCAGTTACCAGATGCTCCATCCTCCTCCACCTTCCGCACCCGCAAACACGATACGAAAATTCACCAAACGAATCCGCACTTGATGTTTAACCTAATTGGGTCTCATTCATTGCTGGGGAACAGATTGCATGCCTCCGGTTCAGATATTCCACCATCCTCCACCACCACTCCCCTCTTTTTTGGTGCACCAACTACTACTTCTTGCTCGCCTGCTTTCTGAATGAACAAAAAATAAACTGAAATTTCGCAAAAAAAAAACCCTCATCTGCATCCCTCATTGACTAATTGACAACTTTGGGCTCTTTCTCTCTGTCTCTTTATATATATATTTTGCTATCTCCTGTCTCTGCTATCTGTTTCTGGCTTTTAAAAATTTTTGTGGGGCTTTATTCAGGGATTTTCTCATTTTGCAAAATCAAATTAAATGTGAATAACTACTTTAATTAAATCACAAATTATTTATACTGAAGCATTTAAGGTAAATGCCTAGGATTTGGCTTAAGGCTTGAGTTTTTTAAAGTTTATCCCTATAAATAAAAAATGTTTCAAAATAAAATTACAAGACTTAGGTCGCTTTTAGTGACTCGCTTTAACTACACAAAAGAAACTTGCTTATGCGCATGTAAAGTGATTTTGCGAAATGGTCTAAGCTGCTCGTAGATTTTTAGCATCTCTTCTCTCCTTGCTTATACACTTTTCCTCTGTTATCTGCTCTAGTTGGTGCTCAGTTTCCGAGTGATTTCTAACAACGTTTTACTGCACTTAAACTTTTCCAGAAAGTTGTGAAATCCCTGGACTCTGCGAAGGAGAAGGCCACCGCCGCGTCCGTCAACAATAACAAGCCCATCAGGCCGCTGCTCTCGCTGGACAGCACAGTGACGGCCTCGACATCGTCGGGGTTAATAGGAGCAGGCGGAGGAGTGGGAGTAGGAGTTGCTCCCGCCAAGCCATCACCTCTGGTTTTGGCCAATAAGCGAGACCTAACGCCCAGCAACGACAGCAGCTCGTCGCCGGCCAGCTCGAATGGCAGCAACCAGACGCTCACGCCACCCATGACCGCCGATAGCCAGGCGCTTCAGTTCCAGAACCAGCACCGAACACCTGCACCTGCATTGGCATCGTCACAGGGACCAGCGCATCCCGGCAAGGGGGAACCCCAGCAGCAGCAGCAGCAGCAATTACCGAATGGCATCGGCAGCGCCAGCAACTGCAACAGCATCAGCAGCGCCACTTGCAACTCCAGCACAGCCATGATCCATGCGAATAACTCGAATTTAATTGCCGCAGGTCACTTGGCCCAGGCGGCCGGCCCCGCCCACAATGCCCCCTCCGGCGGCAGTGCACTCAGTGCAGGTAAGTGTGTGGGTTGGGGTTGAGCCAAAGATGAGTGTGTGTGTGTGTGCGAGAGAGGGCAATGTGAGTGTACAGGGAGAAAAACTCTTGCTAAAGTCAAGATTTTTATAAAAACAAAAATTCTAAAGATTACAGGATCGATATTTGTTATCGGAAATCATAGAAACAAGAAATTTTTATAGGTATAATATCCAACTTATCGATAAAAATATTTCTCTTATATAAATAACCTTATAAAGATCAAAATATTGATATTTTAAATATAAAAAAATATCGCAGTAAACGTTAAAATATGGATATTATTAAAAAATATCCCCAGTAATATTTAATTTAATTAATTAAATAATATTTACATTCAAAAAGATTTGAAAACACTGTGCACTTTTGAATATCCTTTCTATAGACTAAAAATTGGTGTGATAAACCAAACGGCAAATCGATTTATCGTGCACCAATCGCCTTTTATCGGTCTTTCATTTTAATAATTTATCATAAAGAAAACTTGACTTTAGGGAGTATTTTTTTGCAGTGCTTGGAAATGCATTTGTAATGTGTAAACGCCTGGGGACTGGGCGAGGCGAGGGGAACAATCAGCAGATTGCTGCGGGCAAAGAAAGGACCTCCCAGGGAAAGGGAGGGGGATCTTTGCAGCATGAATGAACAAATGCCGCCCAGTGGCGGCCACTGTGGGAATGGCTAATGGGCGGTGCCCATTGCAGCCAGGAATTAAATCAGCGTCCCTGATTGAATCCTTTCAGTCGCCATGCTGATTTAATTCCGTACCCCAAATGCGTAAATTATTAAAAGCCGTTCTTACTTGCTTTTTAACTTAATTGCTAAGCATTCATATCAACCCAAAAGGAGTAAGAAAATACGAGAAGATTGTAAATTGAAATTGCTGTTGTGGTTGGTTGAGAGACATCAGCCAGGGGGAGGGATAAAGGCCACAAGCTTAAACTACAGACAAAATTGGACATCCACCTAGCCACACAGACTGACACTACATGCTACAACAACGAAGGACGAAAAGCACACGCCCAGGACGAATGGTGGGTTAGGTTTTTCGAGAGATGAGAGTGCCTTTTTTAGGTGGGGTTCCCCGGGTTGCCGACGCATCGGATTATATCAGAATGGCAAAGTGATGTACACTTCAAAAATCTGACAAATGGATGGTAATGGCCTCGGTGCAAGCACTATCTTTCCTCGTTCACTCTCCTCCCAGAACACAGAACCCAGGACCCATCAGTTTGAGTGCTGCAGTTGAAAAGTCATCGGAGCGCAGAGTCCGGTCATCCCGGGGAAGGTGAAAAAGTCGGTGGATCCCAAAGTGGTTGCGGTCGAGTTGGGCTTGGGGGAACTTAAATGCTGGAAATTAGACAGAGCACTCTCTGTGCCCAGCCTGGTCGCCACTTGAGTTTTTGAATTTAAATAAACGTTTACTTTTTTAAATTGTCCCTTTTTTTATTCCATTCATTTTGACCTCGATCTATATATCCGTACACTGTAAAGCGAACGATTAAGTGCTAATTAAATTTTAATTTAAATCCTTGGACATAAAATAAATCCATGTTGACAATCAATAAGCACAAAAGCTGGAAAAAAATATATGGCGAAAGGAAAATCGTTGTGTGTGTGTGTGTGATTATCCTGCGGTGTGAGTGTGTGTGCTTCTGTGCAATCAATTTAGACTCATCAACATCATCAGTTATTCACATGACTGAACCGGCGACCTGGATGGGGAATTGATGATGTTTTTGGGAAATAAATAGATAATCAAATTATTCATCTCGTAAATGCATTCTTATGAATTCACATTGTTTTTGCCATTACTCGTTGACTCGTTTGCATTTAGATTAATGTTCCGAAAATCAATATTAATTTATTTCCCTGTTCGACTGCTAAAATTGTTGTTTATTTACTTTTCAATCCTGTTTGTCCGTTTTCGGGTGTATTGTGTTCCGATGAGAGCAAAATCTAATTTCGAGTCCTGCACGCCTCTGTATTCCCCTTCCATTCATCTGTCACCTGAGCGGATTATATATACATATATATCAGTCAGTCACACATACACTGGGGGAAAATGGGTCATTGGTATGAAATTTTGGTATGTTTAAAGTTGTGTAATTGGAGAACAGTATTTAATAATAGGAAATATACTTTTCTACATCTACTTAATTTAAAATAATAAATTTTCCTTGATCTTTAATTTTTAAAAGAATTTTTTAATGTTTTTTAGGAAAGACTAATCTGAAAAATGTTCTAAATAAATTTTGAATTTCAATTAAACATTTTATTTACTACTAATATATATATATCAGAAACACGAGATTTGAAAACTCCTAAAGAGGTGCCTAAATGTAGGCAACAAAATATATTTAATTGTTTTTGAGAGATTCCTCATCGCTGAATTTTTATCTTTAAACAATTTACAACTCATATACCTTCAATATAATTTAGATAGTTGGGGAATTTAAGCTTTTCTAAATCGATAATATATATCTTTTCGTAAGCCATTTTCTCAGTATGACCCACTCACGCATACAGACAAGCCCCATTACCATTATCATCATTTGTTGGCATTGTTCTTATACTTGCTATTGCTGTTGTGGTCGTTGTTTGCCATTGCTGTTTATTTGTTTTGTTTGGAACTACTTATTGGGTCAACCCGAATTTGTTTGCCTACCCACCCACCTCTCGATCTCCCAACCATTCCTGCCCCGACAATTCCCTCTGAAAAGCGTCTATATCTATATCTGTATCCGAACAATGCCGTGTATATGCAGTCGACAAGCGAAATGCCAATGATGTGTGCTCGATGGCCAAATTAACGCAGCCGGATCCGGACTTTCCAATTACAATTCCAACGAAATCGAATGCGAATCTGAATATAAATCCATCTTTGGCACTGGGACCACCGCACTCGCCCACCTCGGCCGCCAGTGCGGCCTTGCTCCTGCTGGAGTCGTCGTCCTGCGATGGCAATCGGAACGACGAGTCAAGGTTCCCCGGGCCAGGTAAGTCAAACAATCTATTTTCCCGATCCCTCTTTCGCTTTCAACTCAATTTCCGCTCTGTATTTTTAATTGAAGCAGCTGCAGTCACAATTAACCCGCATGCCTCTGTATATTCCTATATCCTCTATCCTTTATGTATACGTATATAGTAGTTGCACTTGATCCCCATTCATCCGCTTAGTGCCTGCCGATTCATTGCTCTTCTGGCCTGGTTAAGTTATAATTGCACTGAATTTAGTAGTTCGCCTGCAAAACTTTGAATGTGTTCTCCGTTCTCGTTCGCCTTTCAGTTCTCATTTTGCATATTAAATGCGATTACTCCGGCATCAGCTGGCGCTTGGTCTTTGGTTGTGTGCCAAAGGGATTGCTTTAGTTCCCATTTTATATCCTTGCAACTGAAACTTGGCGGGGGTGAGGTGTAAAAATGCGCGGGAATCCGAACCAGTAGTGGGTTAGTGGGCTAGAGGATGGCATCAACGCTAATTATGAGTAGAATATCGATGAGCAGGCGTGCATGCCAGTTGGTTGGTTGGACTTTGTAGTTTTTAATGGGAACAGAAAGTTTGAATAATAAGATTTGATATTAATAGGGGTCCTGTTGGAGTGTTGAAAATTTTAAAATTGTAAATTATGATCTAGTACTTTATCAAAAGGAATTAGAGTACTTTTTACATTCTGCAAAAGTCCCTAATTACTGGCTTGCACACCTGCCACGATCACCGCTTGTCCGCAGCTTGGTAGCTGTAGATGAAAGCTCCTTAAGCAGGGATTAAGTATTCCCCAGAATTCTATGTCACAAATCACCCATCTCTTACAGAAACTGCCCTGAAACTGCGCGAGGAGAATGATCGCCTCAATGCCGAACTGCTCCGGCTGAGGCGACACCTTGAGCTCTCTACAGATGGTGCAGTGGGTGGCGTCATGGATGCAGTTCCCGAAATTGAGACGAGTCCCGGTGCTGAAGGATCAGCTTCTAAGGATCGCATCGAACGTCTGGAATCCGAGCTCAGGTCCGTGAAGAACCAACTGCTAACCATGCGGCTGGAGAGGAAGAAACTCCGCACGGACAAGTCGGATCTCCTGGGCCAGGTCAAGCAGCTGTGCGCCTCGCTGCAGGAGAAGGAGCAGGAGCTGCGTGACTTTATCCGCAACTACCAGGAGCGGGTGAGGGCTACGGAGACGACAAATGCAAAGATCTCGGGTGATCGGGATCGGGAGCGTTTCCAGTTGCTGAAACAGGCGCGGGACGAGGCCGAACGTTCTCTGGCCCTTGCCCAGCAGCTCTCCGCGCGGGATCTACAGCTCCAGCGACTGCAGGAACAGCTGCAGGAGGCCCGTCGACAGATGACCGGATGCCTCTCCGACCAGGAGAGCCTTCACTCCTTTGCTCCCCTCACACCGCCGTCAGCAGCGTCGGGAATGCTTGGCCAGATGGCCGCCGCATCTGGAATAGGCGGTGGATTGGCCGGCTTGCGGGGCACAGGCGCCGAGGATAGTGGGCGAGGCAACTCTTTGTCCGCCTTTAGCGGCAGTTTGAGCGGCGGTTCCGGGGCCACGGCGGGGGATCGTAACTCCTGTTCGAATGACTCTGGGCTGAGGAACAGCAGCGACCGGGAGAGCACGGGCGGCGAGCTGAACTTTAGCGATGGCACCTGCGACAATGGTCCCTGCATCACAGTGGATCCGGACAGCATTTCGCTTGTGTCCAGCCAGAATATGTATCAATGTGAGTGAGAAAATGGATTAAATATTTATGTTTTGTTATAATATATAAATTTTTAACCTTTTTTAGTCGGAACACCCAAGGAACGCAGCCCTACATTGTCGCCACTCAACTCGGCTGCCTACTCAAGGTAATTTTATAAAGAAACTTTGAGAATGAAATGAACATTTGTAGCATACTTTCCGTCACAATTTTAATTGATTTTAAAACGATTCTTGTTTAAACTATTTACAATTCAACTAGAATTGTATTTTTCTTCATTAGTAAGATATGAATTTCGTTGGTTTGCCTCAACACACATTTAATTGTTAACTGCTAGCCTTAGAGCCTACTGATTCATATAATTGTTTATTTGCATTGCAAATAAACTTAATTCAGCAACGACAAACTTTACATTATACGCTTAATTTAATCTTCGCCAGCGGTCATGTGTAATTAATTACATTTTGAAAACCAATATTAAAACAAAATAAATTGCACATGGTGGGTGCTGAGATTACATGAAAATTTGCGATAAATTTAAATTCTGTAATGAATAAAGCTTAGATTTCGTGTTGCGTGGACATTGATGCATGAGGTTTATTTGTTGCCAAAAATATATATATATTATATTCTAATTAACTTGTATTAAATTACTATAATTATTTACTAAACAATTTTCATTAGGTCTGTGGAGCAACTGGGCTCACCTGTGGACCCTGAAGGACCTGGTGGTGGCGCCATTAGTCGGAAGTTTGCCAATGCCAGCAAGAGCGGTCCTCTGGGTGCTCGGAATGGACGAGGTGGAACTTGGGGCAGCATATCCCGGGTCTTTGCCCGCTCCAGGAACAAGAGCAAGGCCCTGTCCGCCGATGGAGTGTCTGAATGTGAGTGCTGGAAAAATAAAGAAATATGAAAATTAAATAAATATTCCCGATTCCCTGCCAGATGCTGACTATTCCTGGAATCCCATGTCCGAGGAGGGCTACGCCGAGAAGCTGCGTCTACTGCGCGAGGCCTCTCAGCTGCCCATCGACCGCTGGCGGGCCACCCAGGTGCTCGCCTGGCTGGAGGTGGCTCTGGGTATGCCGCAGTACAGCGCCAGGTGTGCGGAGAATGTGAAGAGCGGAAAGGTCCTGCTGGAGTTGAACGACGTGGAGCTGGAGGCTGGTTTGGGTCTTGCCCATCCAATGCATCGTAAAAAGCTGCGACTGGCCATTGAGGAGCAGCGGCGACCGGAACTGGTCCGCTACCCGCTGATCACGCAGCTGGGTCACACCTGGGTGGCCACCGAGTGGCTGCCGGACATAGGACTGCCGCAGTACGCGGAACCATTCGTTCAGTCCCTGGTCGATGCCCGAATGCTGGACACGCTGTCCAAGAAGGAGCTGGAGAAGTTCCTGGGCGTCACGCGGAAATTCCACCAGGCCAGCATTGTTCACGGTAAGAGTGGCTTTTGAATTAACAAATCGATTGAAAATCTGCCTTTCCTAGTGAACTCCTTCCACTAAATGAAAACTTTCCCCTCCCTCGACAGGCATTCACGTGTTGCGCATCGTGAAGTACGACCGACAAACGCTGGCCATGCGCCGCGTGCAATCCGAGTCGGTGGACACGGATCCCATTGTGTGGACGAACCAGCGCTTCATCCGCTGGGTGCGATCCATCGACCTGGGCGAGTATGCGGACAACCTGAAGGGTGCGTGTGCCATATCGATGGCTCTTTGATTGCGCCATTCACGGCTGCAATTATGGGGCTCCTACACCTTTTGACCCGCTCTTCTAATCCTGATTTTCTCCCTGCCCTCTACCCCATTCTGACCAATTTGCAGACAGCGGAGTGCACGGCGGCCTGGTGGTGCTGGAGCCATCATTTTCCGGGGACACCATGGCCACTGCCCTGGGCATTCCGCCCTCGAAGAACATAATACGGCGACATCTCAACACGGAATTCGATGCCCTCATTTTGCCCGCACGGTAAGTTTTAAGGGGGCTTAGCGACCCCACAGAAACCATCTAGGATATCTAGGATATCAGTGTGTGCTGTGTGTGTGTGAGTGGGTGCTGTGCTTGTGTGCGTTGTGCGTGTGAGTATCCTTTGTGTAATCCCCCGGGTTTGACATGTGAAATGTGAAAACATAAATATGTGTAGCGTAATACAGCAGCGTTTTGATTAGAGTTGTCTTTGTTTTGATTGAGTTATTGCCGTTTTGTATTTCCATCAGCCCCGTAACCCCTCCCCCAGAGTTTATACTACATATATTAACTTTCCCGTTAACGGTTTTTGTTGTGTGTGTTCTGTTCCTGCACCCTACCTCCAAGGCGTGGTGTTCCTCTTAGAGGACTTTTGTTTGGCGTTCGTTGGCAGGCATTACTTACGTGTTACTTTCGTTACCGAGGGAGGAGCTCTTCAGATCTCATTTCACCTGCTTATTATCATCATACATATTATACGTACACTCATCACTCATCCACCACTGGCTATTATATATTTAGTGCTTTGAGATCATTCGTTTATCAGCTGCTTCTTATGTGCATCCATCCATCTATCTATCTTCTTCCGCATCCCCAAATCGACTGGGCCAGCCTCTCGACTCATTAGATGTCATATCATGCGACGTCATATCTGTATCTGTATCTATATATCTGTCAACTCGTGCATAAGTATGTAACGTAACGGTCTCCGGCCTGTATCTACTAGATAATACTGTACTTAGTTTCTTTGTTGATGATCTTGTGAACGTGTCCTAGACGAACTCTTAAGTAAAAATAAAAATTAAATTTACAAATGCCTCGATAAAGCGAATCGCACTAATGGCGGCCCCCGTGGCCATGTTTCTCTCTCTTTTCTTTCCCAACAATCACACAATATAAAATGTCTCGATCCGATATTTATGTGTTTTTTATATCCGAAATGCAGATACATTATTTACTGTCAAATGGAAGAATTTCAAATGGAAGCCTCCAGACAATTGGCCAAATTGCAGGGCCACTAAATCGCACGAGCCACTAACGAGATTGTCTAGCCGAAACTCAAACGGGACTCATACTGATTTGTTTAGCCAAGCTGAGATGATGATGATACGATAATAACTATAGGGAGAGAACAATAACTGGAGCACAGCGCTAGTCACTTCGTCATTACGAATATAGTTGATAGATCCACACACATCCAATTAGTAATCGTACCGAATACGATATAACATATATTATTAAGTGCTATAGGCATCGAACTAGGAACGCACACATCCAAACCAAGTGTCCAAGCTTTGCATATCCGATATCGATATTAGGATACACTCCCCGAGGAGCGCTTAACGTTGCATTTACTTAGGTTGGTTTACAAGTCAAGCATTTAATGTAGTAAAATCGAGTAGAGTTAAGGCTTTTGCGTCAATGTAATCGGGAGAAAGGAGTGGAAACTCCTTGGAAACGATATTAAATGTTACAAGTCTAGGATATAGGGGGCATTGCGAATGCCACCACCACAGACACATACATACATATTTTCACGCGAGCGGCTTTCGTCACCCAAGAGTTCACTGTGATACAGGAGCTGTTTTCTGAGCTCGGTGAGCCGGCCACCGATGCACAATTGAACCATAAAGACCAATTACATAACCACACGCTCGCACACACACACGAGTCCATGAACATGAACATGAACACATACACATCAACATTTCCGTGGTTAGTTGACTTAGTCCATGTTTGGTGTTGCATACTGTGGAGCGTTCTAATGAGTTTGCCCTGCGGTTCGAGTCCCAGCTCTGTTTCTACAATACCTTGGCCGCCCAAAATGATGCTACGAAATATTTCGCATTGCCAAAATATTATTATTACCTAGGAATTTTGATGACAGCAACCGCAGGGTTAGCTCGCCCAAGTTAATTTATTTAAGAAGTCGTTGTTTTGGTTGTGCAATTTGCAACTACAGTGTCAATTGTAAGTAAAACTTGCTTACTAAGTAGCCTATCTCTCTGTCTCTCTTTCACACTCACAACACACACACACACGCAAATGCAGACACTCGACAACAAGTTCTATGTATGTGTTATCAATGTTCTTAAGTAGCTTGAACTAGTCTAATCGTTGTCATCTTACTAAGTACCATTCTGCATACGACTATATACATTATCGATAATCGAACCTAACTGTGTGATTGGAACTCTAAGGCTTTAAAAATACAAGTTTATTGGCTGCTCTGGTTTCGTGTCTCTGTTGGCAATACTACTATATTCTTTTCCCGAGTTATACCTTTTCTTTCTTCTTTTCGGGGGGTTTTCTCTCACCATAGATCTTGGATATTTTTAGTAAATGATATTTAGTTGTTGTTTTGCGCTACGAGTAGTTACTTATGCTAATTATCGAATACGGAATACGAAACAAATAAAAGTAAAATACTCTCCAACATTGATTAACCAGAATTTTTCGTCTTTGTCCCGTTTCTTTTTTCCATCTTTCCTATATTTTATCCACTCTCTTTTGCTTTGCCATCCGTATGTGTTTCCTCTTCAATTTCCAATTGTAATCGAATCAACGGCTTGTTGTTGTTGCTAACCTCTGCTTGATTGTCCAACACGATTGCCAACACAACAATGACAACAATACCAACAACAAATCGACAACGACATCAACAACACAACAACAACAATCAACAACACCTCAATGAAACTAATTTCTGTGTGTGTATGTGTGCCTGCTGCCTGCCTGCTCTCTCTATCTCTGTCTCTGTATCGCTATCTCTGATGCTCTGCCCGCCCACCCGCACTCTCCAATTCACCAAACCAATTGCTCCAAACTCTCCACACTTCCCTCATCTGCTGTCTGTGTCCTGTCTTCTATGTGCTGCCTGCGCCTGCCTGCCTACGAAAATCGAAAATACATGCACATACCAACCCACCCACCCGACAACAACAACAACCACAACATGATATTTGCCACCCACTCACTCACACACACACACGCATACGACCTATGCAAAAATTCGCAAATCGAAATTGCCATGTTTGTTGTGTAGAGCGACTCTTGGTCAGGGCATCCGTTCCGGTTGCGGCGTTGTGCCACTAACGGGACCCGGCGGACTCCAGCACTATGCCACAACAGATCGCCGCTCGAGCGGTAGCCTCAGGGTAAGTACCGAGCTCTATTTTATATATCAAGTCTATAACCTTTATGTCTAAAATACGAATACAAATACTCTACCAAATGTCCTTACTCTCACAGTGTCTCAAGCCTGTATTGACGTGAAGCTTTTGTTGTTGCTCGTTGTCTTATTTTATAAATAAAATACATAAGTCCTTATAAAGTATCTGATATATTATTAATTGTAAATTTACTGAAATTGCAGTGAAATTTGATGATGTACATCTACGTTTAAATTGCAATAAAACTACAACCTTCTGTTATATGTATATCTATCTCGCTCACACTTGCAGTTGCCTCAGATAGTTAGTCGAGTGTTGAACCAATTTTACGATATATTGAACATCGTAATCATTGCTTAGTTTTAAAAAATCAAAGCTAACTTTCTTAAGATATTATTTCCAGTTAACTCATGATACCCATTAAAAGCATGTCTATTGTTTCACACAGATTAAAACTTAAAACAATGCAAACCAGCTCAAAACACAAACATTTACCTATGTATTTCCAATTACAATCTAACAAATTGCTTCCCAGAGATATAGTAAGTCTAAGCAGCTAGCAACAACCTAAGCCTCACGACAGTTCCAGGAATTTATCAATGATAAAAGGGCTACATAAATTAAGTTTAAAACATTACAAATTTTATTCTTTTCATTTCTTGTTAAATTAGATTTCGGCATGGAAAGGATCTCAGGTGGGTTTAACCTTTTTTTCAGCCCCTAGAACTTGTACTAATTGTTGATTATCTCTCGTTTCAGAGCTCCCTTTCAAAAGCCTTTCGGTTTAACACCAAACCCCATCGCACCGGCGACCGCAGCTCCTTCGGCAACTCCACCTCCCCAACGCCTTCGTACAGCAGCAGCGAGGGTGGCGGAGGAATATACGCAACCATAGGCCACCAGTATCCCCATCCGCATCAGAATCCGCAGCAGCAGCAGCACTATCACCACTTCCTTCCGCCGCCAACGACGGCTCCACCACCCATTCCCTCGGCAGGGGCCATCTATGGTCATGGGCATGGGCCACCGCCTGGTCACCGTGTGAGTGCTCCGCCCGTGGGCGGGGTGCTGGATGCGGGCGTAGCAGAGGCACAGCTGCTCTACGAGCAGAGTCGGCGGCGCGTGAAGAGCATCAGCGATATTGGGGCCTCGACAAGTGCCGGCAGCGTGGGAGCCTGCAGCCTGGGTGGCATATCGGCCTCCTCGGAGTCGCCCGAGTAGGTGGGCTAGCTAGATAGGTTAGGATTAGGGATAGGATAGCGAACCAGACAACCAAAGATACTCAGCTGCAGGCCACCATCCAGGACCCCGACTAACAGACCTTCCCAGCTGCATTTGAGCTTAGATTCTAAGAGCAAACTCTATTCTACATTCACGTCAGTGTCAGACCCACCTAAGAGATACAAGCATTCAGCAGATACGGATACATATGCGTCGAGAATACAAATAAGCGAGTAAGCATTTGATCAAATCAGATATAACTACGAACCATATGCTAAACTCAATTACAGACATAATACATAGAGTAGACTAAGCCCAGAAATCGAATCAAACACTAACGGGAATAGTTTAATCAGTCACATTCGTAATTGTAATTGTAATTCTATTTGTAATTGTAACTGTAAAGCTAGCTTTAAACCGATTTAATACCAGGAGACGGAGGCCGATCCGTTACTCACAGAATACATAGCCGATGGATAGCAGACACTGGAGAGGCGATTGCAATTTAGATAAATTGAAATTATTTTGTAACCGAAACTATCGTAGCTAAGCAAATGGAAACGGAAACTATTGAATTAAATTTGATAACTTGTAAATTATGGTAAGCCCTAAGCAGCGTTCAATATCGCATGGTAATGGTTAAACTCGAAATACAGAAACGTAAACAGAATCAAATATAAGCTAATTACAAACAGACAAACGCACTTCCCCCGAACCCTCGCACAACCAAAGGAAGTCAAAGTCAATGTCAAAGTCAGCCCGCTTAATCCGCCAATCTATCAGTATCGAAGAACCCCCAAGAAGCGTCAGGGTATTATTAAGCTGACCAATTTAACTCTAGACCTATGACGAACAAACTATCGAATAAACCAATGATCAAAACTCTGTTGTGAACGGAACTGCATTTATTGTGTCCTGGGGGGAGGTCCACCCACTAGATGAGTAGGATCTCAACGTATTGCATTCTCTCAACTCCAAAACATTTCACCTTCACCGAGAGTTGATGTGCCTCCTGTGTCCTTTGTGGTTCGGTGCAGCGTCGGGGAGGCTTGGTCGCGGACTCCATCTCCTCCATCCGCTCGGATTGCTAGCGTCGATCGTCATCGTTGTCGTTGCGCGGTCGTCGCGTGGTGTACGGACGACCCTTGGGCTCCGGATTGGGATTTGGATTCGGTTCGGCGGCGGTCAGGGTGCCCAGGCTGCCGATGAGGGCGAGGATGCCGAAAACCAGGAACAGGCTGAACCACTTCATATTGTCACGCTGAGTATCAGATGCGAACTGCTGAACCACCGGCTGGAGATCGAACGTTTTATGGTCTGGCGCCAAATGCTAATCAAGGGAATAGCCGTCAACATCGCTTACCTTTCCCAGTTGTTTATGTTCTCTGATCGCCGCGATAAGTCCAAATTGAGTTGTAAATCTAGCGCTAAAAATGGGCGGACATTCATTTAGGTAATTAGCTCCAGCGAACAATTGTTCCCATTACAATCGCATCTGAGCGTGGGATCTTTCATCGAAAACAATTAGCCTTATTGCAGTATTATAGCTCATATATATTTGAGTCGTTCTTGTTAAGGATCTAAAACAGATACGATAATCCCTTTCTTTGTTTTTGTATACATTATGCGATCTTTCAGCCTATGCTGACTCTTTGGAATACAAATATTAGACGATATCGACGGCAAATGATTGCCAATTGTTTTTACCTGGGACTTGGCTTGATAAAAAATAAACAAATTAATGACGCGGAATTTTCACAAATGGAAACGTTGGATAAACACGGAAAATATAAAACTTTAGCTCGAACAGGGGTATACAAAAACCTTTTTTGGGGACTGATAATACAACAAGTGCAAGCATCTCTCAGAAATGCTGTTACGAAGGCCGAATGACCTGGCTTAGCTTATTAACAATAAATTATTTATACAAATATCACAATTCGGGCTTCTGTGGGGATGTCTTCCTCTCAAAACATCCACTGATCCGTGTAGGGCGGCGGGCTCAGGGTCAGCTTTTGCTGGAAAAGCTGGCCGAGCTCGTTCATCTCCCGCTCGCGACGCAGCTCCTCGCCTACCTGATGCCACAGGCTCTCGAATCCATTGTCGTGGGCGGTCATCGAGACGTCGCCCTCGCAGGAGCTGTCCTCGAAAACAAAGGAGTATTCTTTCTGGTAGTCGCACATAATTCTGGTTTTCTGGTTTTTAAAGCTGCAAAAAGAAGAGAAATTCAAATGGTTAGTTATCGATCAAAAGTTGCTATCGAGGGCGCTCATTATCGATGCCAGCTCTTATCAAACATAAAGCTCGAACATATGTTTTCATTTGTGTACAAAATGTCGCGAAAGAACGTCCTGAGTTTGATCAACACGATCGTGGCCAACTCGTAAGTATTACGCCAATTTACCGGTATTTTTATTGTAATTTTTTGTTATTTATTTAAAGCTGCAAGTGCCCCGCCCACTCGCATAACTATGGCTCCGCCGCCCCCACTGCAGTCCAAACCGGGCGCATGGAATACGCCTTTGAGGCAAGTATTTACCTTGGACTTTGGCCAGCAGCCAGATAGCTAAGCAAGATCATTTGCAGACGACAGTCAGCCAAAGTCTGGAGCAGATAGCAATCTCCGGCCTTTTATGGTTTCTATAATCAAATAACTTAACGTCTGGGAAATAATCTATTATGTTCTATAGCGAGTTTTATATTGAATTTCCTTCTTAATTCAACAGGTTTCAAGAAGCTAATTTTCTGTGGTCTGTCTAAGTAAACTCTTGTGAAAATTTGTTTAAAAAGCATAAGGGTTATATTAATAATAAATAGTAATAGTTAATCGATAGATTTATGAAACTACAGCCTTTGGTATCCAAATTTCATTGACTTTTTATATCAAAATTAACTAAGATTAAAGAATTTAAAAGTGTTTTTTTTATGAATGATTTATTTCCGACCCTACATATTAACTATGTATATATATTCTTGATCAGCATCAACTGCCGAGTCGATCGGGCCATATTTAATATATTTTTTAAGAGTTACATCATTAAAATTTCCAAAAATAGACATAATTTTTAATTAAAATTGTCAAAAATAACCAAAATATTTTAGTTTTTTACCCTAATAAATACTAGCGCAGTGAACTTTTTCTTATTAAAGTGAAGGCTTTTTTAACTTGGCTATGCAATTTTAGTTTATATAAATATATCAATTTTCAATTTGATCGAATGACCCAATTGGAAACTGTAAGGGTATAGCAACATCGGTTTACCGAATATTTAATATTATATTATATAAATATTCTTTAGATGTCCGCCTCAACTGTTCGCTTTGGACCCGGAGTAAGTGCCGAAGTTGGAGCTGATCTCCGGAACTTGGGTGCCCAAAAGGTCTGTCTGGTGACCGATGGCAATGTGGCCAAGCTGCCCTCCGTGAAGGTGGCTCTGGACTCATTGGCACGGAATGGCATCAACTATGAAGTTTATGATGAAACCCGCGTGGAGCCAACCGATGGGAGTATGTGGCAGGCTGCAGAGTTTGCCCGTCGCAATAATTTCGATGCATTCCTGGCAATTGGCGGCGGATCGGTTATTGATACAGCCAAGGCAGCCAATCTCTTTAGCAGCGATCGAAATGCGGAGTTTCTGGATTATGTAAACTGTCCCATTGGCAAGGGCAAGGAGGTGAGGTTTGCATAATTAATTAATTTTATTAAAAAATTATATATTATTATGTAACCGCAGATAGCTGTGAAGCTGAAGCCCCTGATTGCCATGCCCACCACCTCGGGAACTGGCTCGGAAACCACTGGAGTGGCCATTTTTGACTACAAGAAGCTGCATGCCAAGACAGGAATCTCCAGCAAGTTCCTAAAACCCACTTTGGGTAAGATTTAATATATATAAATTTTCAAATTGTTAAACGGAATTTCTCCCAGCTCTGATCGATCCCCTGCACACACTCTCCCAACCGGAGCGCGTCATGGCCTTCGCCGGATTCGATGTCTTCTGCCACGCCCTGGAGAGCTTTACGGCGGTGGACTACAGGGAACGTGGCCCGGCGCCCAGTGATCCCAGCCTGAGGCCCACGTATCAGGGTAGGAACCCCGTGTCGGATGTCTGGGCACGCTTTGCTTTAGAATCGATAAGGAATAACTTTGTGGACGCCATCTATCAGCCGGATAACTTGGCCGCTCGTTCCCAGATGCACTTGGCATCGACAATGGCGGGCGTGGGATTCGGTAATGCCGGAGTGCACCTGTGTCACGGCCTCTCCTACCCGATTTCGGGGAATGTCAGGGACTACAAACCCAAGGGCTACTCCCCAGATCACGCCCTCATCCCACACGGCTTGTCCGTGGTGATCAGTGCCCCAGCGGTGTTTGAATTCACGGCGCCTGCCTGTCCGGAGCGGCACTTGGAGGCTGCCCAGCTGCTGGGGGCCGAGGTGAAGGGAGTAAAGAAATCGGACGCTGGTAGACTTTTGGCGGACACTGTGCGCGGTTATATGCAACGCGCCGGCATCGAAAATGGCCTCCACGAGCTTGGATTTTCGAGCAGCGATGTGCCCGCCTTGGTCGAAGGAACCCTGCCCCAGGAGAGGATCACTAAGCTGGCGCCCAGGGCTCAAACACATGATAACTTGGCGCAATTGTTTGAGAACTCCATGGTGGTGTATTAATTTGGCAGCTCAACTTACCCACGCTCAAATGGTTCGCTTGAAGAAAAGTCTTTAACTAACGGATCTTGGTCTGGATATAAGATCACACTAAAGCTTGGGAGATTATTGAAGCTGCTGGATTATTTTATATACATTTTAGACGAAAAATACTATATACTTTAATACATTTTTAAATTTATATTCAAGCTTTGTTTACTTTTTTAATTGGGTTTTTCAAGTGCCTTTTGTTGTGAATAATTTTAAGAGGAATACTTTTGGTTCTCCTTTGTGATTTGGTATTATTTACGGAGTCTGAAGTTTTCTAAAGCTTTTAGTTCAGTTTTCAAAGCTGCAAAAGAGAGACTACTTTCAGAGATAATAAAGCCGAAATAGGCTTCTCTGCTTAATTTATTATTGTTTATTTTTAAAACTCTCTTAAAAAGTCTTTTACTACCTGAACCACCTTCCTAAAGCTCATCATAGCGCAGATGGATTTAAAATTAGTTATTCCTTTATATATAAGTACTTTGATCGAGAGGAAAACTGCCCTGGAATGCCCTAGGAAGTTATGTCACAAGTTAGAAGCGGAACTCCAGCGCCACTTTCAAGATAACCCTCCAAAGTCCCATCGATGATAAGGATGTCCGGGCACTTGAATCGTTTATTGAACTCAGATAAAATATATTCAATTTTATTGAACGGCTTGTTATGGTTAAGGTGTACTACTAAGTATGCATATAGTAAAGATTACGATCGGTTTGGTTAAAATAATTTATTGTTTTCGGAATTGGTTGAAAGTCAAATGTGTCAAGCGATTACTTGATTTCGACTGGAAGAAAAGGTAATAAAAAAGACTTAACATAGTTTATGCATTAATTATTTCTCTCATCTCTTGATCAGATTGTAAATCAGACGTCATTCTAGGGAGTCCTCTAACAGTTGGCTACACAGATCCGGATCTAAGACTCTTACTACCCTCTGCTATTAACTCCTTTGGAAAGTGTGTTTCTTTAAGTAATTTTCGCTCTGTTTGGAATTTGGCAAAATGGCACTAAATCTTCAAGTTGTTCCCGAAATTCTCATACGTAAGGAGGGATATGTGGGGATTTGGGACTCGTCTGCTGGCGGGGTCACCTCTGCTGTTTGCCACGGCATTAGGTGGGATAAGCTATTTCAGGGATATGGGGGATCTCGAGCTCTATCAATATTTATTTCTCCTCTCTCTCTCTCTCTCTCTCTGCTATCTCTGCTATCTCCTCTCTCCTTGCCCTTATTTGGATTTAAGTATTTCTCAGTTGTTGCTTTGTTTACTCGCATTTCGCTAATACTTGTAACTCCCTTCCTGGTCTTCTCCTGCTGTCGCCTTCGTTCATTCTGGTGTCTGCGTGTGTGTGTAGTCAATTGTCTGATGCGATTTTCCACTTGTTCAACTATCAATAAACTTATAAATTAGAAAAACAGCGCAACTCGTTCGACTTCCGCGGTGTCCGGCCCGGAACTTCTGATTCTAGGGGGACTTAGACCTGGTTGTTGATCGGCGCGTACCGGTGCACCTTGGGCTGCTTGATCGCCTTGGGCTGCTTCTGCTCCTTGCCGCTGGGCTTCACAATGTCCTCGCTCAGCTTCTGGTAGACGAAGGAGTTCTTCGATGCCAGCAGGGCCATGCGATAGCGCTCGCCGCGCTTGCGGAGCACCACGTAGACCACGCGGGCGATGGCCAGCAGGATCATGACGACGCAGCTGACCACAATGACCACCGGGATGAGCATGTTGTAGTTGCCGTAGTAGATACGGCCGCGCTCAATGAAGATCTCCTCGTCATTGCTGTCGTCCGATTCGTCGCTCTCGAAGCCGAGTTTCTCTGGAACAGCAGAGGTATTGTGAGTTTAGGAATACATAAATTAGAAAATAAAACTCACCCAGTAGGAACTTATCGCGTGTCTCGTGGGACAGGTCCACCTCCTCCGCCTTGACACCCTGATCCTTCAGCAGGGGCTTCAGCTCCTTGTTCACAAACTTGTCAAAGGCCTGGTCAGAGTCGGCCTTGGCCTTGGCGTTCTTCTTGGCCTCCTCGAAGCGTTCATCGTCGTTGTCATCGTCATCGTCGTCATCATCATCATCCTCATCTTCGTCGCTCTCGTAGTCGCTGCTGTCCTCGTCCTTATCCTCGCCGCCATTGTTCAGATCCTCCTCGGCACTGTCGTTATCTGGCTTCTTCTCGTTGGCGCTGTCCGATCCCTTCATGATCTTCTGCATGCTGCTCAGCTTGTTCTTGTCCAGCACACTCTTATCCAGGACACTGAGCAGCTTCTCCTCGTCCTCGTCCAGCTTCTTCTCGCTTTCCTTCAGACGCTTCTCCAGCTTGGCCTCGGCGCTGTCGGCCTTCTTCTCATCCTGAAGATCTAACGAAGACTCCGCGTGCTTGCAAACCTCATGGGCAAGGGTAGCCCATCCGGCCTGGGCCTGATGCTCCAGCTCTACGATGGTGGCATCGTCCTCCAGGTTGGCCAGCACAGGCAGGCGCTTGGGAGTCATTTGCATCTGCAGGGTGACGTAGCTGATGAAGTCCTGGAAGTCGCGGTTGCACTTCAGGGGATTGTTCGTTATATCCAGGGAGCGCAGGTTCTTGAAGCTCTTCACGTCCGCGGAGGAGATCTTCTTGATCAGATTGCCGGAGGCGTTGAAGCTGCGCAGGCTCTCGAAGATCTTGTAGCCCTCGCCCAGCTGGCGATCGGAGAGCAGGGAGGTGAGCTCACAGTCATTGACGTCCAGGGAGCGGAGCTGGTGCAGGGGCATGAAGAGGCGCACGGACAGCCGGCTGATGGGATTACCCGCCAGGTTGAGCTTGGTCAGCTCTCCGTTGTCCATGAGGAGCAGGTCGTCCATGCGGGGAATCAGGTTGTTGCTCAGATCCAGGTCAATCAGTTTGTGCAGGCCGCTGAAGATTTCCTTGGGCAGGTGGTTGATGTTGTTCCAGGCCAGCTTCAGGGTGGTCAGATGCGGCATAGTGGAGAAGGTCTTGTGACCCATCGGGCCAATGGCGCAGTTGGAAATATCCAGATAGTACACAGTGAACTCTCCGCTGTAGCTGACGAAGCCATCGGTGGGCAGCTGGCTTAGGCGGGGATTGTCATTGAGGCGGATCACGTCCAGCTCGGAGTTCTTGAAGAACAGCATGCCCGAGATCTGGTCCAGCTCGTTGATCGACAGATCGATGTGGCGCAGGTTCTTCAGCAGGAGGAACGAGTCCGGCTGGATCTTCTTGATGCCGTTGCCCTTCAGGTTCAAGTTGGTCAGTCCGGGCATCCGGTCGAACATGCTGTGGTGCACCTGGTCAATCGCATTGAAGCTCAAGTCCAGCTGCTGCAGGTCCTTGGTGCCGAAGTGCAGGTCGCCGTTGAAGGTGTTGTACTTCAGGTGGAGAATGGACAGGGTAGTGCCGTTGAAGATCTCGCGGGGCAGCTCGGTGAGCGAGTTGTAAGAGAGATCCACTTCCTCCAGGGAGCTTGCCGTCTCGAACACATTCTCGGGCAGCTTCTTCAGGCTGTTCTGGCTCAGGTTGATGTACACGATATTGGTCAGCTGGGAGAAGGCCTTGGGAGCCAGCTCCACGAGATTGTTGCGGGAGAAGTCCAGCTCCTCAATGCTAGAAGACTGCAAAGATCATTAAAAAGACTGATCGAAGGGGAAGGAATAATTTTAAAGACCTACCTTGAGCAGATACTGGACGCTGGACATAACGCTCAGATCGTTGCCCGAAATGGTGAGCATGCGCAGCTTCTTGTTCTGGGCAAACGTATCCGGATTGATAATGGCCAAGCCCACATCGGTCAGGTTCACGGCGTACAGCTCGTTCAGTCCGTGGAAGGCCTCTGCGTGCAGATACTCCAAAGTGCAGTTGGCAATCTTGATGGAGGCCACGTTCTTGAGGCCCAAATTGAAGAAGAACTTGGGTCCCAGCAGGATTGGGTACTTGGGGCCAACATTGGTCACCACGACGTCCGTGATGTCCGAGCCAAACTTCTGGGTGCCTTGGTCCAGTCTGCAAGGATTTTTGAAAAGTTAAAAGGATTCTTTTTTGGAAGTTATCTAATACCAACCTGCTGCAAGTGGCCACCATGTAGCTGTTGACATTGCGAGAGCACTGGCAGAATCGAGGGCAAGGAACGTCCTCGCTGAACACCACCTGCTCATTATCCGCCAGATCATCAGTAGCCTCGTCCTCATCATCATCATCATCATCGTCATCGTCGTCGTCGTATTCGTCGTAGTTAGAGTCGCTTTCATTATCAATAGTGTTATCCTTGGTCTTCTGATCGGTGGGTTTGGCCTGAATAATAGGTATTTTTGTAAATTATTAATAACCTGAATAATATCCTTACTTGTTTAACTTTAGTTTAATTGCCATTTTACTTAGTTGTTTATTTAATTATGTTCAAATTACCTTAGGCTTCGAGGGATTGTCAATGGACACCAGCTTGGGCTTCACCGTGGTGGCCTTGCCCTTCTTGGCACTGGCGGGAGTGGTCTCCTTGTCCTCATCAAAGTAATTGTAGTCGTCATCGTCGTAGGAATAGTTGTCGTACTCGTAGTTCTCGTCGCTATCGGTGGAATTCTTTCCGCCGACGGTGGTGGAGGAGGATGAGGACGTGGTAGTGGCGTTCTCGGTCTTGAGCATCTTGTTAAAGTGCGGATCCTCGGCCAGGGCCTGGCTGTGCTTGGCAGCCTCTAGTAGATCCTTGATAGCCTCCTCGCTGAAGGTCTTCTCGGTGCCCGAGGGCGTGCTCTTTTTCGCTGGCCTCCTGGTGGATGTCGTCTCTTCAAAGGCCAATTCCTTGATCTTGGGCGTGGAGATCTTGGGCAGGCTCTCGGTGGGAGTCGAATCCTCGGCGGAGCTCAGCTCATTGTCCTTCAGATCGTCGTGGACGAAGTGGATCTTGTTGGCTATGGAGGTGGCTTGGCTGGCGTGGATCAGGGCCAGGCTGAAGGCCAGCAGCAGGACCAGCCTGCAAGTCGAATGGCGACCCATTCTCCGGCTGATGGGCAAACTGGAATGGAATGGACCAGTACAGTTACAGTTATTGCTGCGACGATACTTCCAAGAAGGTGGAAAACCGACGACTCACACCCAACGGAGCCCCGTATCTTATCGCTAATTGTCCGG